ACTCCCTCGTAACCATTGGTCTGCTCACCTTGGGAACACTCTCAGGGGCAGCATTTGGTCTTCACTCACCTGCCCCCAAGTAACCAGCTCGACTATGACATGCTAAAGAAGGCACTTCTGGCTCGTTACAACCTTACAGAAGAAGGCTATCGGAAAAAGTTCCTTCTTGAGTGACCATGAGGCAAAGAAGGAAACCCCGCTGCAGTTCATGTGCAAGCTGAATGACTATTTCGACAGATGGGTCTTCCAATCGGGAGTGAGCCACGACTATGAAGGGCTAAAGTGGCTGATGGTCAAGGAACAGTTCCTGAGCTAATATAGTAATGAGCTGGCAACGTTTGTGCATGAGAGCTTCGATGCCTGCCCAACTTCTGACAGGAAACTGAAAGTAAACAGCCGCTCATATCTTAAGCTCAACTGTCGGGTGAATGAGTCGCTTTGTATAGATGTATCTCGTATTAGTAATTATTTATGAATTTGATGTTTGTATATCACTCTTAATGCTTTAACTAATAAGTTGTAGCAATATAAATTATTTTGATAATTATTATGTTTAGACAGAATCATAGCATGAAAACGGAGTTTTCAGTAGGACAAAAAGGAGACCTGAACTTTTTCTCTTTGCAGAATGTTTTGTGGTGCCCTGTACTCATTTCCCCCATCCTTTTAGTTTAAGGTTGGTGTTTATCACGCATGTGGGGGGGGGGGGGGTAAACCCCGGGATTCATTACCTTATTTTCTTTGATGTGATTTGTATTTACAGGATTTTTTGGGTTTTATTGGCATCAAGGTGGGGTGTATTAGGTTCTGGTTCTGTTTTTTACTTTGACTGACGAAAGGTCTGAAAGGTCATTATCGATTTCATTGGATATTATGTACGGTGGAACCTTGTGTTTATTCAGCCCATAGTTGTTTATGATGTGTTGATCGTTTTTCCTGTATGCACTACACATTTCACTTTTGTTGTCCAGTTAAGTATGATGTGTTGCATGGCTTAGGTAAGAGAGAATGTATTGACTTTGTGTGATGCTTTCTTGTACAGTGAACCCTCGCTATAACGCGGTTCACCTTTCACGTTCTCGCTGCTTCACAGATTTGCATTGTGCATTGTGTTCTGCATTCTGATTGGCTAAACAGTCTCTCCGCTTCTTCTCTACCTGTGTGTCAATAACGTTACAGTTTAATATGTACATGTATGTAAAACAGCTTGCCAAATTTAAGTTCAAATTTTCTCTAAAACCCATAATGTCGACAAAACGTGCCTTCAGTTCGTATTGATGAGTAAAATTATTTTACAGTAGAGTAGTTATATGTAAAAAAAAAAAAAAAAAAAAAAAAAAAACGTTTATGCAGTAGTTTTACTTGTTAAACAAATGCTTGGGCTTGTATAAAGGTTTTGGTCTTTGGTTTCAATGTATTATAGAGTATTTCATTGTATAATAATGGTAAAAAAAATAAAGGTTACTATTTCACGGATTTCGCCTATCACGGGTTCTTTTTGTAACGTAACCCCCGCGAAAAACGAGGGTTCACTGTATTTCAAGTAATCTGCACATTACATGTGTAACTTGTGTCTATGTATCATATTGATTGCTAAAATTGCTTTCTTGTATTTCAAAAGTAATCTGTACATTGCATGTGTAACCTGTGTCTATGTATCATATTGATCAATTAAAATGTTATGTTGTATTAAGTGTCCATGTAGTTTTCAGGGCATGACATAGTCGACTTCCTCCTCCTTAGAGTATGACTGACTCATGAAATGCCATTTCTTTGCTGACTTGTCGTTTGGTGTAATTATATTCTCCAGGATACACTTTTGAAGTCTCAAGCCAAAAGGTTTAGGCCCTCTCACTTCACCATCTAAAAGCCACACTTTTCTGTCTTCCACTATACGGGAGTTCTCAGAATCCTCTGGGTCAAATTGCTCTGCACAGATTGGGGTTGGCAATTTAGCTTGTTCTTTTGGAAACACCACATGCGCTTTTGTCACTGCAGGGTTTTTTTTTTTTTTTTTTTTTTTTTGGGGGGGGGGAGACATCAGGCTTCTGCTTTTAACTAATTGAGACATCTGTAATTGGGAGTTGCAGGTGTTTTGGGAGTTATGTACCTAATTCTGCTCCTACTGGGAGTCAAGAGCTAGAATGTGCAATGCTGTTTCTGATGCTTCCTTCAGAGGAGGGTGGAAAACCATAAGAATGTCATTTTCAAGTCTTCCTTGTTATGTTCCATAAAGTCACATTCAAGATCCTTAAGATTTTATAGGTGTGCATGTAACAGAATTATTGTTATCTCATGAGGTTATAGGGAAGGGCAGCACATATAAACTGGATAGCACCGTTTTTAAGGGGCAATTATTTGAAAGAGTGCAGCATGTCCTACCACACGAAGATTTCTTGACCATGCTGATGCAGCCGCCCTATGAGAGCCTCGGCCTCATTTTGGGGCATGTCTTTTGTCCTTTGCATTGGGACTTCAAATGTTCATCTGCATTAAAAAAAAAAAAAAAAAAAAAATCCATTGGCTTACACGTGTACCTATTTCATACTTTATCTACCAGTTTGGAGAGGTAAAGAATATTTTTGATGTTTCCCGTCATAATTAGCAAATCTAGCCGTTATTTCAGTCACATCAAATGTTCCACTTTAACGTGGGGAGTTTAGGCCATGATTCCGTCGACACTATCATGACTCGCTGATCACCTATAAAATTTACATAATATATGGGTTAGCTAGTGTTCTACGTAGCACAGGATAATCCCTTATTATACATAGCACCTTTCACAGGAGTCCTTCGTAAAGTGTAGCACCGAAGTACTCGGCCTCAAAGAATAACAATGTTGAAGCAACTCGGGGATGGGACGTCGAAGTAATACATGTGATCGTTAGCACGAATGAAAAGTGGATTGTTGAGTGACTGTGAGGGTATGATGTGAATAGGTATTACGATATGAACTGAGGTAATAAAGGAATGGGTTCATTGAGAAAAAGAGATACTGTAAGTGATGTGGGTGTTACTCTTTAGTTACAATAGGTTTACATGCATTTTCCAGTGCAATACGGTATTGAAGCTGTGTTAGGTCCCTCCATAATATCACATTTGTTTGCTCTGCCTCCTTATCCCTAAACTGAAATAGAGCATTGCGGGTCTGATCAGGTGGTAACATTCCTGCTATCAGTTGCATATAAAAAAGGGCACAGTCAAAGCAAAAACAGTACCTCTTAGGTCACAGCAAACTCCGTGTCTGTATGTGTACTTGGGAATTAGCTACAGTAAAATGATGCAGGGAAGTCCCAAATTTCTAAATCGCAGACCTTAAGTAGGCCGTGTTTCAGAATCGGGAACTAGCTTGGCAGAGTGGTGCACTGCTAGAGCCGCGAGGAGTCTGGTGTCGACCAGTATGACAACCTGAGTAGTGTGTTGAACATGTATTGTTTACAGGCTTGCAGGCTATGGCTGCTTCACATGTTTGTGTATATATAGCTACACACACAAGCAATGCATGCATACATAAACATGCATATGGATAAATAATTTACTCTCCCTGACCAGGATTGGAATGTGGACCACTGCAAATATGAAACTGCAAGGGCATTCTATTTTTCATAAATACAACTCGGTACGTTTGGCATAGATTGGTAATGTCTGTGGAGCTTGTTAGCCCCTAGTTACATACTCCTTTTAACAAGTTGTGCAGTATAATTGGTTTAGAATCAGTCTTGTAGTTTCGTACCTACAGTGCCCCAGATTCAAGTCCTGGTCAGGGAGTGTCATTTATCCATCTTAATGCGACAGTACTTTATTCTGTCTTTGATACATATGGATAAGGATTTCATACATCATCTATAAATAGTTCTTGTATATATAGGCAAACCTACAAATATACATTCATAAATATATATTTTTCAATATGTATATATGAATATAGTCATAAAAAACAAGGATACCCTGCTATCCAAACGCATTATAAATATAACATGGAGGGAACTGAAGGAGACAAAGATGCTAACCTATGTCAATGACGATATAGAGGGGATGAGGTGAATGACTGCTGACCAGTGTTTTATCTAGGTTTTGCATGTGTAAGCACAAATTAAAAACTTTACCACGAAAGTCGAAACGTCTTGCTATAAAAAAAAGGACAGATTTTACGGTAAATATAGTATCGTATATATCATAATAATAATTTTCGTGGAAACTAGAAATTTTATATATTTAATATATATTATAATTATATATTTCTAATGTATATGGATCTAATCAATAACTAACGGTAAGAGAGGCTGGGGGAGACAGTATGTGAAGACCAAATATAGTAAAGATAATGGATTGGGGAAAAAAAAAACTGATGCTTAGCAGCAATGTTTCCGCTGGCCAATCATTGACCACACATCTGATAGATCCCGGGGGGTTCAAATATAAATTCCTGATATAGTAAGTGGGGTAAACTTGGGTAAATTCTCATATCACAAAATTCCGACCTATATTGTTGAAGAATAAATTCATCCATGTCATATATATGATAGGAAATAAAAAATTACATACAAACATTTCCTGCTTAATGTCGCCTTTAGAATTTGATATTTGCTGACATTTGATAGAGAATTATGCATCAGGCAACACCATCCCATTAAACCAATCACCCAACCTTGACCACCAGTAAAACCTTAGAATGTCGCTAAACCAGGAACCTTTTCCTATATTTTCAGGCAAGGAACTGCCTACACTTAATCAGACCTATAATGCTTGTACACTATTTTCTTTCCATTGTTCTAGTAGTCTTTGGAACAATTGGGAAGACTGAAAAAGTGAAACTCACAGGAAATTTTTACATCCATTGGTGAAATGGTTTTTCATTAATATGTAATCTTATTGTGGTCTTTCTCAAGTATTCAGTTGGGCTGGAAAAACACTATTCACACATACTGCGCTGGTATACCTTACATCTATATACAGTAATGGTATAATACGTATGGAAGGCATTAAGAATAAAGATGACATGTTGGTTGAAAGTTTTATTTTACAAGCACTGACCTAAACATAAATAAAAAACTATAATATATTGAAACATTTTATAATTTATACAGCATCTATGCTTTCAAATAAAGAAAAGAATTCTGCTAATTTTGGAAACTGTTGCATGCTGTTACAAACAGCTGCTTTGTCCCAGAACAGATTACAATATACATCTAAAAAGAAACGTCTCATATTTACTTCAATGTTGTACAGTACTGAATGTGTTTCAATTCTCCATACAGGTTTATCCAGTTGAACAAGCATATCATAGAAATCATCAAATAAATTTTTCTTTACTTCCCAGATTTTCATCCATTCTCCTAGATATAATTCGAGCTCCCGCTTCTTATCATAGTCTGCAGTTCCTGAACTTTCTTCAATAGTTTCTACTGGCTCCGGCTTAACATACACTTCCCATAATGGTTCGGCCTTAACACATATTTCACATAATGGTTCGTCGCTTTCTTCAAATTCAGATTTAACAGCATTCACATATTCCTGCTTAATTTCCACAGCCTCGTAATGTATTGCCTCATCTTCATTAGAAATCGCCAGTTCTTTGCTTTGTGAGGTGTCCCTATCACTGACTACTGCACTATGGTCACTACTGCCTTGGTTCACTGCAATATTAGATACATTTACTGTTACCTCATTTGAACTTATAGTTTCATCTAATTTATTCTTTTTTGTTCTGGGATTTCCGTGAATGTGATCATTTTCATACTTTCTTTTATTTTCCTGTATATTCATATCCAATGACTTTCCACTTTCACATGATTTGCTATCACTATTTTTGTGGATTCTTTGGGCAATTTCATCACTAGTTTCACGATCTCTAATATCACAATGTGACGAAGTGTTTACTTTATTTCTATCTTTTAAAGACTTATTATTAACCTTCTCAGAATTTTTCTCTTCTCTCTTTTCATTTTGTATTTTTTTTATAACAGTCTTCAATATGTTCATCTCCAATTTCTTTTCAATCGGTTTGAGTATATTCCTTTTATGTGACTTTCCAAGATCAGTATGTTTAATGATAACCTCTTCCTGTATACTTCCATTCACCCTTTTACTTTCCTTTTGGTCTTTCGTAGTCTGCTCATTATTTTTCAGGCAATTCTTTTCTTTGGTTTTCTTGGCTTTTTCACATTCTTCCTCCATATTTCGTACACTAATTTCCTCTTTGTCAGCCATTTTTTCTTTATTTTTTTTCTTATGAGACTGGTCATCCTTCTCTCGATGTTGCTTTTCTATGGTTTCAATATTTTTAACCCTTTCTTTTCTATTACTAGCTCTCTCTGCACCATTTCCTTCCAAGATACAGGCATCATCTTTATTGCCTTTTCTTTTTTTGTTTCCATTTGTTTCTTCCTTGTTAAGACTATTCTGTACTTTTCGTTTCTCATTCTCTCTCAGTTCTGTATCCTTACCTCTCAACTTCTCTGTGTTTTCTGTTTGCTTCTTTTCCCTTGCATCAGCTGAACTGCAGTCTGCCTTTCCTACATTTTCTGATTTTTTCTTGGTATCCTCTAAGGGCTTCCGAAAATGACCTTTGTTTGATGTCTGTTTGACTAAATCTTCTTTTCTAATATCTGCAGGTATTTTTCTATCTTTACTGCAGATCATCTGTTTCATTTGTCCTTTGCTCAACATACTATTTCTCTCAGTTTCATTTGCATTATTTTTTTGATTAACTAACGTTCTTATGGTCTCCCTAATGTTATCAATATTCTCACTGTCCAGATTATCTACATAATTTGATGCATTCCTCTCATCTCCATCTGCCATTCTTTTTGTTGATGTTTTAGTGTGGCAATTAGGTAATGAATTTACTTCAGTCGCATTTTTACTTTTTGGTGTACCTACATGTCTAGGACGGGAAATTTTCAACTTGAAACCATTATCTACATTTAGGAGAGGGGACACTTTGGGACAGGTATTATCATCTTTCTGGAGGGTCACCTCTTTAGTGGTTTCTATATTAGAACTGGCTTCATTATCTTTGTGAGTACCATCTTTGTGAGTACCTTTGAAACCTGTGCCATGTTGGTGAGTCACCTTGGAGCTGGTGTCATAATTGCCTTCTTGAATCCTATTGAAATTAATGTCATCTTGAATCATATTGGAACTGGTCTCATCTTTCTGCGTCTCTTTTAGTTTCAAACTAATGTTACCTTCATGAGTCACCTTAGTACCAGTGTTATATTTGGAATTGGTGTCACCTTTATCAGTCACCTTGGAATTTCTGTCATCGTCGTGAGTCACATTGGAATTAGTGTCAATGTGTGTCACTTTGTCATCTATGTCAGTTACCTTTAAGTTAGTGCTACCTTCGTGAGTCACTTTGGTATTCTTATCACGTTTCTTGGTCACCAATGAACAGGTGGAGTCTTTGCGAGTTGTCTTGGCACTGGTATCATTTTTATGAGTCACCTTTGAACTAGTCCTAGCTTCATGAGGAACCTTAGACCTGGTGTCATCTTTGCAAGTAACCTTGGAACTGGTGTAATTTTCGCAAGTCCCCTTGGAGCTGGTGCCATCTTTGTGTGACAATTTAGAAATAGTGCAAACTTTTTGAGTCACCTTGTTGCTGGTGTCATCTTTGTGGGTCATTATTGAGCTGGTGTCATCTCTGTGAATCCTCTTGGAGCTGGTGTCATCTTTATGAGTTGCTTTGATACTAGTGCCAATTTTATGAGTCGCCTTGCAGTTGGTGTAATTTTTGTGAGTCACCTTGGAATCTGAGCCATCTTTGTGAGACACTTTGGAATTGCAGTCATCTATATGACTCCCCATGGAGCTAGTGTTATCTTTGCATGACTCTTTGGAGCTGATGTGATTTTTGAGAGTCCCCTTGGAATTAGTGTCAGCTTTATGAGTCACCTTGGGATTAGTGTCAGCTTTATGAGTCACATTGGAGTTGGTGTTATTTTTATGACTCGTCTTTGAACTAGTGTCATATTTACAAATCATGGAATTGGTGTGATTTTTGCAAGTTTCCTTGGGATTTGTATCTTTATAGGTCACCTTGGCATTGGTTTCCCCACTGTGCATAACCTTTGAGCATATATCACGTTTAAGATTAAAATTAATATCTGCACCTTCTTGGGGAATCCCATGAAGACCTAAGTTGTTATTTCTGGGAGTAGTCTTTGCACTGGTGTCATCGTTTGTAAGACTATCCTTTGAATTTCCATTGCCAACACTTTTCCTAAGAGCAGATAATAGTGATCCCACAGACAGAGGATAAACCGGACCCTCTTCCTCTTCTCCATTTAGATACTGGTTATTAATGGTTGTATTTTCACTTTTACCATTTTCTGTTAGTTGATTTAAGAGAGTCTGGCTTTCTTGAAATTCTTGCGATACTATGTATTCACTGGCTCCATTATCAAATTTCGAATGTATCACAGTAGCATTTTGCTGTCCCTGACTACTAGCTCTCTGATCACTTATGCTAGAATTTGTAGTTGTCTTTGGTATATTTTCTTGGCTTTTTTTAACTTGAGTAGCTACATTCCTTGGTATGATTTCTTTAAGCCAACAGCCTTTAAGGATAGACGACTTATTACTACTAAGTAACTTTGACAGTCCTGGTGCTCGTTTCACACAATTTTTGTTTATCTTCATCTTAGCATATTTACAATCAGTCCATTGAATGAGACCATATCTAAAATTTCTTTCATTACTTACATCACTTGACTCTACCTCGAAATTGGGACTTTCACTTATACTTGGGCTTTGTCCTTGGTTTGAAGTTTCATTTTCCTGATTTCTATGCAATTGTACTTCGTTGCAATTATATTGCTTATTTCTAAAATGGTTTACATCTCTACTACTATCGTGTAATCGGCCTACATGTATATCAAAGTCTCTTTGTGCAGCATCACTAGAACTGATAGTGTAGCTATTTCCTGTTCTTGAAAAACCCTCACTTCTCACTGGCACTATATAGGAATCACATACAGGTGGAGAAATTCTAGGGTCACGTATCCTACCACTGTTGTTTCCAGGGTTCTCAGAATACCTTTCCCAGGAATTATTATTGGATTCTTCTTGATACCTTCTGGCTTGATAAGAGTGAAATCTGCTTTGCACATTTTCTCCATATCTTTTGACAGATGACTTATCGAAGATCACGGTTTCCTCGTCGAAGCCCCTCCTCCTTTCTACACACTATAAGATAAAAAAAATATATATATATATATAACTCAATATAAAAATATTTGCTAATTTAAAAAAGTAAACACATGTAAACAATTTATATCTACATACATACATTACGTTTAAAAATACATCCATAGTGTACATAACTATCACACACTTACATGCAAATATATCAACACTTGAGTACATATAAACATATACACAAATATTTATATAGGGTGTGCTATGTATAGTATGCAGTATCTATGCAAAAGTTGATCATACAAGTACATATCAATCCATGTATCATGGGGGGGGGGGGGTTGTGTATGCATCAGATATTAGCATGTCACAATATATAAATGAATGTGTATACATTCATTCATATATTTTGATGGGAATATACATATTTATGGCTGTAGATTGAGTATGTATATTACTTCATATATATATATATATATATATATATATATATATATATATATATACATTAGTACATATACATGCATATATACATATATGTAGCGTGTATATTTACATGTATGCATGCTTTGTATGTATATATATATATATATATATATATATATATATATATATATATAGAGAGAGAGAGAGAGAGAGAGAGAGAGAGAGAGAAGAGAGAGAGAGAGAGGCGAAGACGTGAATAAGTATATTAATATCTAAGTGTATAAATATGTACATAAAACTACATATGTACATAATGTGGTGGGCATTTACGATATAGGGATGGGGGGGGGGGGCTGTGATAAGCAATAAAGATATAAGGACAGAGAACCCTGCATGGTAAATATATCATCAAAAGGGCTGACGCTGACGGGGGCGCATAACCGCCACCACCCTTCACTTCCAGCTATGGTGGCCCCTCATTGCAAGTCGCCTGGCAGACGAGCTGCCCAAGTCGCAAATTCTAAAGGGGACCGTCCCTAAAAGGGGCGTGGCCAATTATGGGGGTGGGGGGTCTTATTGGTAAATATTTTTAATAAAATAAAAGGTCTTATGGATTTTCTTCATTTTTGGATATTTTATGTATTTTCATATTCCGCATCTTTTGGTACCATCTCTTGTTGGGGTTCCTATGTGGGGGGCGCTGCCCCTCGCAAAAAACATTTTTTTCATTTTGAAACGTTCCCTTTGCAGAACGTTCCTTGTCCCATAGGATTATGATTGTCATGAAAAAAAAATGTGAATGAACATCAATGAATTCCTAAGACATCAACCAAGCTCCTTTTTGGAAACCATTCAGAAAACGTTAGATCAAAAATACTTTGAAATACAAGTCTCTTATATTATCTCTTATATTCGTTTATCGTAGATGCTTTTCGTGATGTAACAATAGGTATCACATATTCATAGGCCGATTTTACGAGTTTACACGAATAAATTATCATACTTTCTTTAATTTATTTTTTCTCGTAAATGGATTTATAATGACATAATCAATTAAGTAGTTTCAAATGAAAGCGCATACGTAAAACTATTGCAATCAGAAAAATCTAAAGCGGTGGCGACACTTGGAGCTTTGTTACGTGGGTCCCTGCAAGATGGCCTTGGACGCGCACGAACCTCCAGTCCAAGTGAATATCTATTCGTTGCGAGTATTTTTTTGGGGGGGAGATACAGACTTGTAACTGCTCATGTATTATCACCGAACCATAAACATACTTTTACGACGAATCATACCTACTATATTTTATGAGAAAGAAATTTGAAAAGTCGCATAATTATTTTTTATTTTTATCATATCATAAATCTTTCACCTTGGTATAAAACTGTTATAAGACATCTTTATCTTCCTGTGATCCATTTCAATAGGTAATGTCAAAATATAATGCATCACATTAGCTCCTGTGAAGTGAGAGTGCGGAAGGGTGAAAATCGCTGACACGGGCAGTGGGACTTTGGGTTCTGGCCTCACGCACAGCCCAATTTTTTCGCAGCGGAAGTTCATATTTATGTGGGTGATTCTATTCTCACTTACGAATATGAAACTGACCATAACTCATTTTCGACCACTTCGACCCAAAATCTCTTCCCATAGGCTTTCTCCACGCAGGTTGGTCTTGTAAAGAGACAACCTGATGGGTAGGGTCATCCACAGGGGAATGAGCTAGGTACACATATGAGTTGGTAGTCACGGATTATGCACGTAACAGGTCCCATGCCAGTCTCACGGTAGCCGTTTGGACACATGGTCTAGCCAACTGTACCCCATTAATCAGTGTAAGGACTTGTTATGAAAGGCAAGAGAACTCAAAGGCACTATACAGCATCCAGATTTTGTTTCCATAGAGCACAACTGGCAGTATCAAGTATACATCTCGGTCCTTCACCATAGGTACCAGCACCTTCAAATACTCTTACTGACCGAGTTCATGGCTCCTGCCAGACCAATCCGCCTACTGACTTCCTGGTCTGACAGCCCAGAAACATGAACTGCACTAAGGTATATAAACCTCTCCTAACAGGTCCCCAAAATCCTGGACTTTGGTATTAATCAAGGACACCTGCAAGCCCAGGGGCTTTGCCTCATTGCTAAATGCAAATTCAATAGCTACTACCAGATTCCAAAGACTAAGAATTGCAACATCAATAAAGTCAAGGTCTGTGCCTTGATATTGCCCAGTGTTGCTCCATATTTGGAAAGTAGCTCTGCAAGTGTTGAAAATTGGTGCAAAGACACAGCCTTACTTCACTTATGAGTTAACAGGGAAGCTCGACAGGACCCCACCACACTTTACATCACTCACTACAAGTATATAGGCTTAATATTAATCTAATAAGCATCAAAAGTCCCGTGTCTTAGGATCTCCCACAATTCGGGATGCATAGCCGCATCTACCCTTCACTTCCACCTTTTGGGGTCCCTCATAGCAAGCCGCCAGGCAGGGACTCGGCCCATTTCGAGCTCCTCACGACAAGTTTGATTGATCTGCCAAAGCCACAACCTCCTCCACCCAGGGCTGTCTCATACAGAAACCTGGTGGGCACGATCATCCTGGGGGATGCAAGCCAAGTGGCCCTATTGCTTGAGTTGGCGATCCCGGTTTGTGCAGGTAACAGGTCCTGTGCCAGTCTCACGGTGCAACTGTTGGTTGGACGCATGGTCCCACCAACTGTACCCCATGATCCGGCACAAGGACATATTACAGAAGGCATCAAGACGTGACTCCAACGCACAGAACAATGTCCAGGTTTCACTACCACATAGCAAAATTGGCATTTTCAGGGCCTTAAAGACACATAGCTTGGTCCTTCTGCACAGGTACTGGCATCTCCAAATACTCTTGTCAGGAGAGTTCATGACCCCTGCTGCCAGGCCAATCAGTCTGCTGACTTCCTGGTCTGACATCCTAGAGTTGTGAACTACACTACCAAGGTATGTAAAGCTCTCTTGTGAATACAATGTCCTCGCCGCAAGCACATACCGACTGAACAGGTTCTAGTAAGTCCCCAAAGTCCTGGATCTTCTTGGTCCAGGAGACCTCTAACCCCTGGGGCTTCCCTTTATTACTAAATGCATCGAGAGCCACCACTAATGATTCCAAGAACTGATAGAATAACAATATCTTCAGCAAAGTCAAGGTCGGTGACCTTGATATTGCCCAGAGTTGCTCCACAATGACTTTAAACAGTTCTTTAGGTATCCAGTCTGCAGGTGTTGAAGTGTGGTGCCACAGCCTTGCCTCACTCCTGAACAGGAAAGAAGCTCAACAGGCCCCCACCACACTTTACAGCACTTTCAGTACCAGTATACAGACTTGCTATCAGTCCAATAATCCTTGTTGAAATTCCTCTCAGTCACAGGATCTCCTAGTGATTCCCGATGCACCGTATCAAACGCCTTCTTGAGGTCGATGTAGGCTGCAAGCAGCCTACGCCCGAACTCACGACAGCGCTCTACAGTGACTCGGTGCAAGGATATGGTCAATTGTGGAATTACCAGGAGTGAATCCAGATTGCTCCGGCCTCTGCCTATTAGTAGAGTTGGTCTCTGATATGTCTCAGAAGGGATTGGCAGAACCTTGCCTAGGGGTTATACTGAGCGTGTGATGCCTCGGTGATTGCTACAGATCCCATCGGGTCCCCCTTTCCCTTTCCAGAGAGGGATGAACCACACCCCTCAATAGTCAGGGGCGGGAAATGAGTACCGGACCGCCAGATGGCAGCCAGGACAGCATTACAACCCATGCGCCATGATTCCCCACCAGCATTAACAGCTTTCAGCTGGAATGCCGCAAATACCAACTTTGCTCTTGCCACTTTCCAGCTTGGATATTGCCCCCCTAACTTCAGTCAGGAGGTGGGTCCTTCATGATGGTGTGTCCGGCAAAACGGAATCACGGCACTACCCGCATCCAAGTTAACTGTTGGTGGCGGTCAACCATGGTACAGCTGCTCAAATAACAGCCAACATTCAACGCACTGCCAACAAGATCTGAGACGATCATGGCACTTACTAAGCGAACCACCTGTCACCTGAGAAGAGCTTTGGAGTTTCAGCTTTCTTAGGGCTTGGTATGCTGGACGAAGGTCATTTACCAAGAAATGGCCTTCTACCTCTTCAAAACTCCTAACTGCTCCTTTTCCCTTCTGAACAGTGACTAAGTTCTGCACACCTGAGAATTATGCAAATCCCGATCCCCTGTCAGACAAGCCGCACGACAAGCATCTGTGGCATCCAGTCTCCTGCAAGGTAAAATTCTGTCTTGCTCTCAGGCATTCACTTGAGCTGCATCAAGAATTTTGCACTTGAAGGTGTCCCACAGAAGTACAGGGTCCCCTCAAGATTTTTCGAGCACTGCAAAAAAACGACCAGAGACTGCTTCAGCCAAACCCCCGGCACCCTCCCCCTCCCTCGAACCTAAGTGAAACACCCTGGGCGATCATTGGGCTGCTCGGGAGTTTTGAAGTGGACCTTAAGGGTAGCCACAACCAATCTATGGTCAGTACCACAGAACTCGGCACTCCTATACACCCTGCAGTTCAGAAGGATCCTCTGAGTGCTATCA